TTGTGAAATGATTATCATCATAAGATATGACTGTTCCCACTGTATCTCAAACCGATCTCAACCTGTTTTTGATGAATCTCTAAAAAAGGGTTTGTTTTTCTGCCCTCATTTTTTAGTAATACTTATACTAGCATTGATTTCGCTTTGGTGCTGGGCAACATGGGAGAGAGTAACATATTCGCGGTGGCGGACAACACGGAGGTGGACGTGAAGACATTGGACAATACTGTTGTTGTGAATTAGATGACGGCTAAAATAAAAATAAAGCAAAAGTTCAGATAGATAATAATGAAAAAATTATCTATCTTTCAGAAGTTCGCCGTTCAACTTGTATGTTTCGAACCACATATTCAAGCAAAGAGTGAACGAACTAACAATAATTATGCCAGTTTTTAAAAAGAATAGTCATTTCTCTCAGAAAATGAGACATTTAGTCTATGAAAAACGTATCTTCTTACCGATGCAACCAACACTATAGTAGGTAAACATGGACAATACTGTGACATTACATTGGTCCATCTGTTATTACTACCATAAAATGATGAACCACTACAATCTCTGACATTATACATATTGAATATTGTAAAAAGAATATATTAATTAAATCGAACAAAAACACTGATGCTCACTCAGTTTGAAACGAGAACTTTAAAAATGATATATTAGACAGGCGCCAAAGGTCCATTATTGTTTAATTTTTTAGAAAGAAATTGACGGATCAGCAGCTGTATCTATTACTTCAGAATGAGGGAGAAAAAGAATGTAGAATGATTCGGTTCGGTTTGAAGCTTCCAATCTGAATAAATAAAATTAGATTAAATGGTAGATTTTTATTAGGCCTGCTGGAAAGTGTTAGGCGAATGGAGTTAAGTATGGTTGCCTCCTCATTTTCTAGGAATTTTTTTGCCATATTACATCCGGTTTTGATAAAACTTTTGTGAAATGATTATCATCATAAGATATGACTGTTCCCACTGTATCTCAAACCGATCTCAACCTGTTTTTGATGAATCTCTAAAAAGGGTTTGTTTTTCTGCCCTCTGATGAAGCTGAACAAGAAAAGCTCCGCAAAAACTAAAAACGGAAAATACTGTTTTCCAAGTATAGCAGCACCAGTATATGATATATATGTTAAGATTTTTATCCAAGTATCATAACTTAACTTTTGAAACAAACATTGCTCAGAGCTGATAGACGTCTCGTTTAAATTAGAAATATTACAACAGTAAGCACGATAATAGAAATTTCCTATAGGAATCACAATAAAATTTCTGTTTAATTTATACTTGAATTTAAGAAATCTTGGATACATATGATAGTCGCAAGCTCAAAAAGTTCTGTTTAGAAATGCGTAGGATAACTCTATGTATAGTCACGTATGACAAGATTCATTTCAAGATCTAAGTAAGTTTGAACAGTTTTATATTCTAATTATTTTGCTTTACACATACATATATAAACGTTGAAAGGCGCACAATGTTTTGTTAGTTATAATTTAAATTTTTTATTGTTCCGCAAAATGCGTGCAGCTTCTCCAGTGCACTACTGCGACGTTCTAGCCACACATGAATGTGAAATTCGTGATCAGCGTAGGAAATGCTATCGATTCGTATAATTTTATCAGAATCGGCTCGGCAGAAGCGAAAATAGGAACACCTCCGAATCTCACGGAATACACGGAAAAAAGAAGTACGATTGTAATAGAAAGCAGAACAGAGTCTCTTTCCTTACTGCCTCTACCATTTGAACCAGAAAAGTATGATTAGCTGATTAAGAAATGCTCCTTTCTTGCTTATCCACACTATTTCCACTGGGTAAGTGCTGATCTAGTTAAATTTTAACACTCTCAGGTTCGTATCGTACTGATTTATGCTGTAGCACCACTGCGATTGCATTAGTGGAACCGACGGAATTTGAATAGCATTTCCATTTTATTTATTTTCTCAGCGTTTTTCTCTCTCTCATTTTCATCTTTAAGAAGGCCTTCTGTTACGAAATTCTTTCCCCCTCTCCTGCTTCTTGAAAATAAACAAACTTAGTTTTAATTAAGGGTCTCGTTTTCCACAAGATGTTTACGAAATTCTCACTCTCTGAAAAACACTTTATCAAGTACTTTAATTACGGAAAACCACACAAGAAAGCAAAATGAGTCCACGCCTAAAATTATTAACTACACCGAAATGTTATATATCATTCTTCTGTATTCAGCTTTGTCTCGTGCCAGTTATTGTAATTCTGGAACAGTTAGTATGATAGATTCAAGATCTTTTCTCCAAACATCTACTAGTCGTGTTCGAAGTTTCCCTTTTCTTTGTGTTCCGGGTGATTCCCAAAGAAGCATTTCTTTGGCCGGTCTACTGTCTGGCATTCTAAGTAAGTGTCCAAGCCACTGGAGACGTCGTTTACGCAGTGTGATCTCAATAGAAGGTTGTCCAGAAAGACGTCGAACCTCGTCATTGGTGACATGATCTGTCCAGTTGATGCCCAAAATATGACGTAAGCATCTGTTCTCGAAGCTAACTAGTCGTCTAGTCAAAGTTGGTGTTAGAGCCCAGTATTCACTACCGTATAATACAATGGAGAGAACGGCTGCATTGAAAACACGTAGTTTCAATGGAATTGGAATATCCTGCTGTTTCCATACACGATTCAATACATAGTGTGCCACACTAGCAAGTCCAATTCTAAGTAATACCTCTGATGTAATTTCTCCAGTGCTACTAGTTTTACCCCTTGGTTTTAGCTGTGGTTGGGCTGATCATATGAAAACGAGATGCCCAGCGTTTTGTACATTTTGTGAAAGGCAAAAACATACTTAAAGATTTTGTAAAAGAATCTGGACGGATCTTATGAATCCGAGACAAGATTATTCAGTACAAA